AAACAGGCACTTTTGGACAACCACAGGTTGATCCAAGAACCTATAGAACACAACCTGTCAAGGACTTGTACAAGGGACTAAAGTAACAGAGTGGGTACTATGAATTAATATGGGTAAAATACAATAAGAAATTAGGTTTGTGTTGTCGGAGACTAAGTCAGGCGAGTTCAAAAAAAAACATATTTTCAAGAATTTTACAACATTCAGTATACCTAATCAAACACAAAACTTCCTAAATGGTTTTAACAATCAAATAAAAAACAAACAAGATTTGGGGGAGATCTGCCTCTCCTGTCATGCCACTGGTGGCCTTCCATGCACCAATATTCGTCAGCCGAAGTCTAAGTAGAGGTTTTCAGTAAAAGATGTCGCACGTGTTTCATTTTATGTAATTTTAGATTTACTCGTTGTATGACGTTTGAAGAACTAAGTAGTTTTTTATATAATGATTTAGCCATTGTATAAATGATTTAGCCAAGGTACTTACAGATAACTGTAACCGTAACAAAATCGATATAATCCCACTAGCATGATCTAAATGCGCCTGCGTAGCGTGGTGCATCGGTCATCACGTGACTGAGGAACTAACTAATAATAGGTGTACACTACAAAAAAGCATTATTGTGGCGTTTTATTTGAAATACACAATGCAATAAGATTTTTAAAATCCAATAGTAACATTTAGACTTTGATTAGATTTCATTAGGACTATGGGGGCCATGTAGCCTCTCCCACCTCGACCTTCTCAGATATGTTGTGGATATCCTTTTAATTGTTGTTTGGAGTACCTTGCCTAGTTTGGTCTTTTATGGTAACTCCATAGACTAAGAAGTACCTCTCCGACGTAACTAGTTGCCCTTGACTTTTCTTCTCCTAGTGTAAGGAAACTCAGTCTTAATAGACCTTCGCAGTAGCGCAATATGTATACTGCAGTTTCCTCCTATTCCTAACAGAATCGACACAACGTCTCTTTGTTGCAGGCCGACATGTTTGTTAAGCCTACACAATCTCCTGTTATTAGGCCTACTAGTACTCTAGTATTTTTCCTATTATGGCTTTAGTACATGGCTCGGTGAGTTTATAGCGATGATTTTTTTTGTGACTTAAACAATAAAGATTTGAATATTCTTTGAATTTATCTTATTTATTTAGAGAGCTGGTGTACGTTTTTAGATGGAAATCATGATCTGTTAAAATTGTTTTCACCTCAGACCAACAAGGAAAAAATCCCAACACACATTTTATGTAGGGTAATTAAAGGCCCAATAACTGTCACCCTCCAATTACATTGATGGCCATTTGACTTTTTTAATTAAAAGGCCGGCATATATAGGTCACTACGGCCGACAGTCGGGCCAAAGTCACTTTGCCATCATAACCAATTAATGGGCCTTTATTTCCCCTTTAATGTCTAGAAATAAATATATTGGCGATTAATGGTCTATTGATGGGAAGTTAACGGGAAATTGTTGGCCTTTTACCATATTAATAAAGGCCACGTGTCAGGCACATGATCATACAGGATATTCGATAGTGCCTCTTTGACCAGTAGTACCGTTTGAGCTATAAATTCTATACAAAAACATAAGGCATTTCAATATAGTATTGTAGACATTTTATTTAATTCAGTTACATAATATAATAATACAGAAAAAAATACAATGAATACTGAATACCAGCAATGCGAGACTGGCCTCATAGTATACATGTCCACTCGTTGAGTATGTAACAAGCGATCATCGGTGTCTCCATCTATGAACGCGGAACGGAGCCCTCCTGGACTGTTGGAGTTGGGTCTGCGGAGTTAAAAGCCTTTTGACGTTTACCATGATTTTACCCAATACAGTTACTTACCCTTCATAAGTCCATCAACAACAAGCATAACGGTACCTTTTACAGAGTACCCAACAAACATTTTGTGTACGGGAATTAAAGGCCCAATAACTGTCACCCTCCAATTACATTGATGGCCATTTGACTTTCTTAATTAAAAGGCGGCATATATAGGTCACTACGGCCGACAGTCGGACCGAAGTCACTTTGCCATCATAACCAATTAAAGGGCCTTCATTTCCCCTTTAACGTCTAGAAATAAATATATTGGCAATTAATGGCCTATTGATGGGAACTTAACGGGAAAATGCTGGCCTTTTACCATATTAATAAGGGCCATGTATCAGACACATGATCAGACAGGATATTCGATAGTGCCTCTTTCACCAGTAGTACCGTATGAAATATAAATTCTATACAAAAACAGAAGGCATTTCAATATAGTATTGTAGACATTTTATTTAATTCAGCAATGCGAGACTGGCCTCATAGTATAAATGTCCACTCGTTGAGTATGTAACAAGCGATCATCGGTGTCTCCATCTATGAACGCGGGACGGAGTCCTCTTGGACTGTTGAAGTTGGGTCTGCGGCAGTTAAGAGCCTTTTGACTTTTACCCAATACAGTTACGTACCCTTCATAAGGCCATCAACAAGCAACATAATGCTGGACCACTATCGAAAGGCCAAAAGTAGGCTTTTATCTTTTAATCGTCGCATTCATTTTCCCTTCAATTACAGCAAAATGCCAGCAATATCCCGGCAATTTATTGTTTGTTGGGTACATTTTTCTTAGAAATCAATAATTTTTCATATCATGTTATGCATTTTTTGACTCTTGTGTATTTTTTTAAACAAGTGTGACATATTTTATGTTGTGTACTTATCATGTCTCTCATCAGGCGAGTCTAATACAAAGAAAACTAGCCTATTTTAGAAGATTTTTAAAATAATTTATTCCGATATAAAATTGAAAATGCTTTATGCATTCCAAAATACCGTCGCCATAACCTTTCTGACCGATGAAACAGTTTTCGCCTTCTATATGGGACTAGTTCGCCTTGTCTTTGTCTGGTTTATTGTTTAGTCTTCGTTGTATAATAATGACCCCAAGTCCCATCCATAGTTATAAATCTGTGCAAAAAGTATTTTGGATTGCGCTTAAATAACAACAAACATTCTTCTGAAACGTTCATGTGAGCAATCGCGGCACCCACATACAGAAAGCTTTCGTATGTCCCAAATTTAGCTTTTAAAATCCCCACAGCCTCAGCCATATCCACCAACTTCAATCGACGGTCTCTCAAAACAATTTTATGGACTTTCAGGACCGTATCATCTGCTATATAGCCTGCAGAGGGTGTCACTCCACAACAGAGCCAGCACGCGTACCCAGCAGGAAGATCGACAGAAACTGCCTTGGTACAGCTGACTGACGAAATCCAGGATTCACTGGCAAACAGAATGATTCACACGAATTTGTTAAAAGAGCGCTCGTATACAAAGGTTATGCCGAATATTAGGTTCTTTCGTTCGTCCCACTGGTGTAGTTGGGTGTAGTAATGAACTACACCAACCCACACCCATACCTTTCGTTTGGTCCGGTGTAAAACCCACTATACCTTCCTGTCGGCGATGTGGTGTACACTGGTGGATATTTTCTCCACCAGCTATTTAGCAGGAGTGAATTACACTCGACGATGTGTATAAGGAATAAGGAGGAAGTAAATTAGGATAAATAAGGTGGTGTAACTGGTGTAATTTACACTGGTGGACACTACACCAATAGCGAACGAAAGAACCTATATAGTCGTATTTGCTAAAGGATAAGTTTGGAAATATTCTGTGCGAGGTAGTCCAAAGATGAGAACACACCAAAATAAGGTGCCGCGAGGTGGGACAGTATAAACCCCACCAAAACAACTCTAGTAGCCTTTTCAAGGAAAAGAAAACTCAATCTCAAAACCGTCAAATTAGACGGGATAGATATACAGAATGGACAAAAGAAGTCAAATATCTAGGTCTAACCCTGGACAAAAAATTTATCTGGAATATACATAGAAGGATTCCTTCTGGTATGCAAGTAGACAGCAACAGTGAAACCCATCAACATCATGGGGCTGTAGCTGTAACAGAACTAGTTTAGATACTACGAGAGCTAATACTTCAAAAGTACAAAGACTAGCACCTTAGTTTGCATGATCGGTGAAATGAGAACCTGTCCTACGGCCGCAATGGAGGTGATCTTGAATCTCACCCCTTTACATTTAATGATAAAGAACGTGGCAAAAAGGACAAGATATAGAATGATCAGGATCGGAGTAATAAGCCGGAAGTGTGAGCTCCAGGACCTAAGATACTTGGGATATGTCTCAGGACGAAATGGGAAAGAAGTACAGTTTAGTGAAAAACTTCAAAACCATAGCAAAATGTTAATTTGTTTCTCACTGTAAGCATACAAACAATTAATCTTTAATGCAGATTTTCTCACTTTTGTAGTTGCGTTAGTGTTGCATTGATGCTGCAAATTGTTTAGGACAGTCAAAAATATGTATCTCTGAAAATGTGTTTGAGCACTATGGAATTTCTATCGACTCCTGCAATAGGGATCTGTGAAAGTAATAAAAAGGAATGAATATATTAAAAATAAATGTTCAAAGATTATTACAGTGAATTGATTAAGTTATGCCTTGTCTAGGACAAACCAATGATTTTGTTTTACATCGCTCTATGTAGTGTGGCGTGACTCGTAATGTAATCAAGATTTTTCTGCTCATAATTGGTTACATCCGGTGCGACTGCGTTTTAAATGATAGTATCTCGCGCTTGCACAGAGGCGTATACAGTATTTATTTACGGTTAAAATATGTTTTTATTAGAAAGTATGGTTTGATCGTATAAAATGATGAAGCAGACTCGCCTAAAGTAGAATGCAGCTCAGCTTTAGTTTCCGTGCGACTTACTCGAGTTTCTCGCATTATTAAAAAATGTAGATAGCTTGATTAGTATTATGGGATGTCAAATACAAACCACTCGATACAAACTTATATTTTATAGAAAAACTAATAAACATTAAATAAAACAATAAACAAATGATCAAAATCGCCATACCACTATAGGTCAGGCTGGAAATTATTCATCCCATCATAATTTATTTTAGTGTTTGACTTGAGAAAAATGGAATTTAGGTTGTTTTTTTTTACCTCTCCAACATGTCTGTTAAAGACTGGCAAGGGGTAAAACCCTGTAAACCCTAAACATTTGATTATTAAAATAAAGAAAAATACAAAATGAGTATCAAAAGAATCGGAGGATTTTATTTATCAGTCGAATTTTAAATTATATACATTTTTTTTATATAAAATCCCATATTAATTCTAAATTATTTACAAGTGTTTCGAGTTTTTATCCAAAGCTGCTGATGAGTGCCTGATTAAAATATATAAAATCGAAAAGATTTAGATCTGGAAACCTTGCTGGGCGAGCAATACAATTCAATGTAACCAGTGAATTTTGAGTGGAAGTTCGAGATATATCCTACAGGTACGTTTATTTATTATTTATTAAAATAACGAAAAATACGTAACAGAAAAGGAATATCCAAGGAATCAGGATTTTATTTAAATCAGTCAAATTATATCAAAACATATTTTATCTGTATGTACATTAATTTTTACATGTGAGATGACAGGCCTGCTTACATATATTATCTCAATATACATACGGCCACCTCAATACAATAAAAATGTACAATTAAATTACAAAAACATTTGGTAATCAAAAATGCAAAAATTCTATTGTTTTGAAAAATTATTGAGCGAAACGTAAATAAAAAGTACAATAAATATGTATATATATTAAATTAAAATCTTCCCTCAATAATTTTCCAATCTTTACCATGCAACTTTTCAAATAACGCACATTTTAACATTTACTCATCTGTAATAACTTAAAAAAAAATAACTAATTAAAAATAAAACTATTGCTGACGCCTGTCATATCTGTAGTTTCGATCAGGCGGTCTCCAATCTCCCAAAAATCTATCTCTAGGAAATTGCTGTTCGGGTGGGTACATGGGTCCGCCTTGTGAAAACCCAGGGTAAAACATGGCTTGGTTGGGCATCAACTGCATCATCTCCCTGCCCCTAGGATACTGCCTCCAATCTTTCTCTGGAGACCTACGAAATAAGAAGTAGTTCAACAGTTAGATCAAAGCATACGAAATTACCTTTTTTCAGAACGTTGATAGTCCCTTTCTCTCTGGAATCCTTGTTGTCGGTGATAGTCCTGTCTTTTGTGATCACCCTGGAACCTCTCACGTTGCTGAACGTTCCACCTATCTTGTTCAGAGTGGGTCTGTTCGTGACGGAAAACTTTCTGGGAACTACCGGGTTTTCTATGCCTATTAAAGCGGTACTCGTCATCTTCACTGGTCTCATCTCGCTGTCTTTTTCTTTCCTTCTCCTTCTCTCTTTCAACGTTCTTTTCTCGCCTCTCTTTCCTGGAAAAGAGATTGAAAATAAATAAATATTACGATCTGACTCAACCTGCAGCATTGAATTAATATTAAATAATAAAAAAGCTGAAGGTTGTCTAAGTGGAAATATTTTTGTTTTTTGGTAATAATTAAAAAAAAATTTAACTTTTAAAACACTTTAGTGACTTTTCGAGAAAAGTTTAAATAATTTTACATAACAATGATAATTATTATTATGTAAAATTTTTTAAATAAATTTCAAATTATTGAACTGCAGTATATTTATACATAATCTAAAGAAAGGGGTTAAAATGGCTTGTGTATTTAGATATTTTTAAATTTGTTATGATGAACGTTTTTTACACATAAATATCGATTGTCCCACAATAAACAGTTATATAATAAAATTTTGGTAAAAACAAAAAAATTAAATGTTTTGAATTGATATCTTTTTTCAATTATTTTTTTGTCTAATTTCAAGGAGCTGTGTGACATCATTTTGTTTAACTTTCTTAACTGAAAAAAATTTGAATTATTATTAATTACTGGTTTTGTATTTAAATGGACTAAGTTTTTTAATAAAATATATGATGTCCCATTTAAAAAGATATTACGTCACAGCTTCGAGAAACAAAAATAAAAAAATTTGGAAATTTCCTAAAAAGAGCAATTAAAACAGTTTTTGCGTTTTTAAGAAAATTTCATTGCATAAATGGGTTTAAGAGATTTTACTTTGGCAATAGTCTCTAACTAATATAACATACCTACGTAAACTTCTAGTAGTGGGTGTCCCACTTTTAGTGTTTATTTTTGTTTATTTTGAGCCACCTATCCATCAATTCTTCTGTGATGTATATTAAACTTGTACTTTTAAGGCACACATAACATGTCCTTTTAATTTGCGAATCAACTATATTTATGTATGAGTATATCTATTAAAAATAAAGGATTATTATAAAAAAAACCTATGAATGAAACCAACGTTTATATGTAAATATCTTATCATTTTCTGAAATAAAAATAGTGAGAATTCTCAATAACAATATGTCATTGATCAGTTTTCCTTGTAAGGTCAGTTAGATGTCAATTTTATTTAGTACAAAACTCACCTTTCAGAATGGTGCTTTTTGCTTTCTTCCTTTTCAACATCACTTTCATGCTTCCTTTTGTGCTCTTTCGTTTCTTTGGAATCGCTTTTGGGTATTCTCATTTTGATTTTTTCACTGCTAGTTGAAGCGCCACCTTCCTAAAAACAAAGTTTCTCTTAAGTACCCCTACTGGATTTTTTAAATTTCGTAACTCACTTCTTTCTCCTTTTCTTTCCTGTCTAATTTCTCGGTTTTCTTGCATGCTCTCTTATATAATTTATATAATTTTTTGGCATCATATTCGGTAAATTTTGATACAAAATACCATAAGTTGCTGAAAGAAAAGCATGTGATCAATTGAAGGAAAAATGGAAGTGTTATTTATACCCAATTTTTCAATGCATTGACCAATTAGTGAAAGAAACAAAAACAGAAATTACCTCCTCCATTCTTTGACCTTTTCCGGATCAGTGTATTGTTTCAAGCACATATTGATCTGCTCGCCAATCTGCACCAAACAATCTCTAGTGTGCTGCACTTGCTCTGTCTCAGACAGCGACTGATCGGGATTATCCAAAGCTTTTAAAGCTTTCTTCACGGGTCGCATTTTCTCCTTGCACTCGTTGAATATCGTCGGATCCAAACCCCCCAGAATATTTAACGCTATGGGCTCGTTGGTGGAGAAATGCATCGGACCAGAAGCCTTCTTTTCCTTCTTTTTCTTCTCCTTCTTTTCCTTCTTCTCAGTGAGATATTCCTCCCCCCTGTCTTCCTTCTCCTTCTTGACCTGCGCTTTTGCAGCCTTTTTGACCACCGGCGCTGACGGTGTGGTGACGGAGACGCTTTGCGCCGTTGATTCGTCATTGGAACTCAAATCATCTTCGATAATCTCTTTGGTTAATACCTTTGTGTCCTTTTTCCGCTGCCGTTTGGGTTTCTGCACGCCCTTCTTCTGATCCAATTGCTTTTTCATTACCTTCAGTAAGTATTCGGCCCTTGATTGTAAGTGCTTGCCTTGAGGTTTCTTTTCCTCATTATTAAGGAATATTTTATCTCCGATACCAAGCAAGTGATCCATCTTAATTTGCTCCCAGGATCCCAGCCCGTAAATGTATATACCCTTCAGTAATTTGGTGTCCTCTTTGGTGCCCCATTCCACGTCGAAATGTGCTGATTTTGTCTTAGCATCAAAGCTCCATCTGGTCCTTTCTTCTGGATCAGATGGTATCACTTCATCCAGAGGTTCTAGTTCTTCTTCACAAGCCATCATTGTCTTGGCATTGACGGATACGCCTCCTAATTTGAAGGATGGTCCTCTCTTACGACCCTTGTGTTCATCCTGCGTGTTAGATTCAGTGTTTTCTTTGGCTTGCTCGTTCATAAACGCCCGGCATCTATCATGCAGCATTTCACCCAATTTCTTCAATTCCGCAAGAGGCTTTTCTTGCAATTCCGCATCACAAGCCACGGCTTCTAACCGCTTCAAAGGAGCGGTGAATTTCTTGTAACTTTTCACAAACCGTCTAATCTGTGAACAAGTAATCACAATTATTAAAAAGAGGACAGGAGTGTTGTAAAAAAAAGCTAAGAGAAAGTATAGTTAACCAAAACTACATGAAGAATGACCTTTCATGAAAATGTATGCAATTTGACGACAGACATATGAGAATACGTTCTTGTTCAATCACTTCTCTAATAAAATTATATTTAATATCAACTCTGATGCATTTCTGTTATTTTATATAAGATGATTATTAAAAATTTTAACTGCCTTGTTGCCTTATCTAAGAAACCTTCTAACCTAGAGCATTATATTCAGCTTCTATAGATGACAATGTAACTGTTTTTTGCTATACCTGGTCACATCTTCTGAAGTTTAATAATTTAGTCAAGAAAGTAAAGTCTGTTGGTGATACAAATGAAAAAGATTTGTTGGCTATCATTCTTTTACTAGAATCCTATAAAAAAATTGAATGATATTAATATTACTCTGGACATTGTTAGAAGTAATCTTTTAGAATAAATATCTTAAAAGACTAACAAAGAAATTAATAACAATAAAAGAATTGGTGAGGACCTTAAGAGGAAGAATAACAGGAATCAATAACGATGACAGAGTTGGTGCAACTTTTAGATCCAACAGGAAGGAAGAAGTTTGGTGTAATCAAATTGAACATATTAGCACAGCATAGAGCAGATACCAAAGAAATTTTAAGAATCAAGCAACAAATGAAGATGTCAAAAGATATTGAAGATACAGATGAAAAGGAAACTAGGAAAAGCTTTTATTGTAAATTCTAAGAAAATACATGGATCCAGGTAAATAAGTTTTAAATTTGTTTGAAATTGAATTTAACTATATTCATATTTGACATCAACAACTTAGGCATTTAAAAGATCACTGCTAGATTGTATAATTATTGTAAAACTATAATTACAAATATGTATATATGTTAATAAAAACTACCTCAGCGTCGGTAAAGTTCTTGATTTTCTCCTTGGTAGAGGTTCTTCCGCGCCTTTTTGGCCGTTCCTCGTCAGATTCTTCACCAGAAGATCCGACAGATTCGTCGCCATCTTTCTTGCCTCTCTTCCTTCCTTTGCCCTCTTCGCCGTCGCTTTCGGACTGATTGATTTGCTGCAAGGTCTTCCTGCTCCTAGGTGGCAAATACAGATCTTCCATTTCCTTGTTTTTCTCCTCGTCTTCAACTTTTTTTCTGAGCTTTTCCGGAATGATTTCATCCCAGTCTTTGCTCTCATCGTCAGCGGTGTTATTGTTGACAGGAGATGGTTCAGCGTCTTCTTCGAACGCTGCGAAACTGGCGACTTTGAAGGCAGACAGAAGTTCGTCTCCCGTCATAGCCGGTGCATCGTCCCTGGTTTCAGCACGTCTCAGAATTTCATCAATATCACACTAGAATAAAAATAATTAACGACTTTTTATAATCGAATGCGTTAGTTTGGCATTTACGTTGGGTTCCTCGTCTTCATCTTCATCTTTAAACAATTCCTCAGCGCCGAATTTCAATATGGCCGTCAGATCTTCCTTGTTGAAGGGATTGTTGTTTGTGGAACATTTTTTGTCTAGCACAGTGCGACCAGTTGTGTCCATTCTTTGGATAACCAAATGATCCAGGACCATTTTTTGCTTAGCACGTTCCACGATCTCTTCTTCCACGGACCTTGCAGTCACCAATCTATAAATGGATAAAAGTAAAAGTAATTACGTTATTACTTAACAAAAAAATGGTGGTAGTTTCTTTGCGTCCTGTAGTACCTTACATGAATTAGGGAAGTATAAATTAAGATTTACCTATAAATATTAACTTGGTTCTTCTGACCAATTCGGTGAGCTCTAGCTTGTGCCTGAAGATCGTTCTGGGGGTTCCAATCAGAATCGAAAATTATCACAGTATCAGCAGTAGCTAGATTAATTCCCAACCCACCGGCGCGGGTCGATAACAGGAAGCAGAAATCCTGAGACCCATCAGCATTGAAATGGTCCAAAGCCTGTCGTCTTAACTCTCCTTTGATGCCTCCGTCCAGCCGTTGGAAAGGAAAATGCCGTAGTTGCAGATACTCGGCTAGGATGTCCAACATTCGGACCATCTGAGAGAAAATAAGTACCCGATGGCCGGTACCACGTAACCTAATCAGCAGTTTGTCTAGCAGCACTAATTTTCCAGAGCCTCTTAGCAATTGCTGGAGCATATCTTGCTGAGTATTGATCAGTTCATTATCGCTGGGTTTGATTAAAAATGAGTGATTACAGCATTTCTTTAGTTCGATGACGATGTTGAGGAAAGTGGTCGAAGAACCTTTGACACCTCTTCTCAAGGCGTTGAAATTTTTTGTTAAAATCCATTTGTAGTACTGCTTTTGGATCGAAGTCATTTCTACTCTAAGGATTTGCTCTACTTTTGCTGGTAGGGATTTTTCTACGTCTTTCTTAACCCTTCTAAGAATAAAGGGTTCAAGTTGTCTGTGAAGCTTGCCATAACCTTTGGTTGCCGCATTGTCATGTTCTTTTTCGAAATCTTCCCAAACATTGAACCTGTTAAAAACGTCATACGCTTCAGTTTGCAGTACAAAAATATTGCAACATTAATCAATTCTTCAAATATAGTTTACTTCAATAAGGAAGGGTCAGTTCTCAGAAATGTAATATTTTATACTATATTAATCTATTTAAAGATAAAACTATATTTCTAGGACTATCGCATTATTTATTCCATTGATATAAATAAATTCGTAGGCGTAACCTTATTTTTAAATTACCAGATGATAGAAATCTATTCTGAAGTAACAAGTGAAAACTGGCAAAAATATATTAATCACGTTATAGGAATTGAGAAAAAATTATGTGAATTTGATAAGATAATTATGGATAACCATTTATAGATCCTATCGAAATTTCTTTAGAATCGGATGACACTTCTTCATAATAAGGGAAACTGAATCAGAGTTTTAAAGTTCCAAGTTAAAAAATTCCTCTCTGAAATAAATCCCAACTATGTCCCAAAATAAGTTGTGAAAAAGCTCATTTAAAATTTAATTGTTTTTAATATTCTCTCATAAATCGACTACGGCCACAAAAAAATGTAAATACACAAAAAGCTTCAGTCAACAAAAAAAAATTAATGAATATCTCAAGAATTGTGGTTTTTGATCGGTTTTCCAGACCTCTGTACCGGTGGCTAATACAGCCAAGTTTGAAAATTAAAAATCTTCAAAAATCAATTTTTTTTTTCAAACTTGGAATTTTTTGCTACTTTGCACTTTAGCATGTCCATATTTTACCCAATTTTTGTACATTCTGGCCCCTTTCTAGTTGTTGAAATGAAGTTTTATGTTTTTAGTTTCTTTTTTGACCAAAAATTAAGATTATAAAATAAATTTTAGAAATTCTGAGTCGTGAAAATTTTTTAGAATTAACAAAGGGCGTGAATTTGTAATTTTCAAGTTTTTTTCATATATCTGTTGTAAAATTATAAAAACTGAGTTTATTAATAGGAAATGTTCTCCACTTTTTGAATATGTAGGCAAAATTTTTCTATTTTGATTTGATTTTGTTATATTCCCTTATTTGAAGTCATGTTACACCAGAAATGTCAAAAACTACTTCTTTTTCGATGTACGGCTATACGGCCTAGAGCCATTGCCAAACAGCCAAGTATCATTAAATAACCTCTATTTCCTGTTTAATACTTTTTCTTATATTTGGCAACACCGCATTTATAGAAATGTCAATTGTCATAATAAACAATACTTTTTATTTGTTTTCCAAAACTTTCAAGAACATAAGGTGCTATAAATTACGAAAAAAAAAAATTGGTATGGTTTATTACTCTATGGATAGTCTATCTCAGCGTTTCTCAACCTTTTTTGGCCCGCGGACCAGTAGATTTGTTAAAAAAAATTGCGGACAGTAAATTGCGTGACAGTAAAATTTCTCCGCGGACCACTAATGGTCCGCCGGACCAGCGGTTGAGAATAGCTGGCTATCTAATATTGTTTTTTAGCCATTTTACAAGAAAACGATTAAAATCCACGTTTTTTATGGTTGAGACAACACATTTCGAAGCTTTTATAAAAAAAAACGTGACACCTCATATGAAAGATACTTTAATTAATAATTATTGAGGCATCGCATAATGTTATATTTCCAACTTTTGTTTAGCCAATGTTTGTTTATTGCTGCGTTAATTTTATCCAGGATAAAAACAAGGTTTTCTTCAGTGATTCAATTATAATTATGAATAAAGATCAATTTCTACTCACTTTCCAGGCATAATAAAATGCAGAAGAGCCCACAATTCTTTCAAACTATTTTGCAATGGTGTACCCGTAATAAGTAGCCTGTGATTGGTGTCGAATTCCATTAAAGCTTTGTAAAGCAATGAGTCATCATTTTTTAATCTAAAACGCAATATTTACAGTTAAAATCTAAGAAAATTTCAATCAATACGGAATATTACTTAAAAAAAGGAAATTACTCACCTATGAGCTTCATCAACTAAAAGTACAGCCCAACTTAAGCTACCTAAAAATGCTTTATCTTTCAAAACAATCTCGTATGTTGTCAAAACTGCGTTAAATTTTAATCTTTTGGATCCTTCAAAACACCACTCGTATTGACGGATCTAAAAAAATATTAAACAGTTACGTTTCAAAAAAAAAGCAAGTTAATTTGACAACAAAATTTAAATGGTGTCAAGTCTGGAGAACCTGTTGGTCATCTGACAGTTTCTTGATTACAATTACAAGCAATAAAGGTAAAAAACTCATAATAAATCTTACCGTTTCCCTAGATTGGACGTCTCCCAAATAGGTAACAAAGTTTAAATCTGGAGCCCACTGAAAAAACTCCCTCTGCCAAGACGTCATTGTAGACAGCGGTACGACGCACAAAAATGGGCCGTGCAGGTGGTGCGTATTGAAGAGATAGTACAGAAAGCATATTGTCTGAACAAAAAATAGTACCCATTAGAAAATCTAAAAAATCAAACTTGTACCTAGCTTAGTTTCTTTACCTGAATTGTTTTACCAAGTCCCATTTCGTCGGCTAAAATAACGGAATTCTCTTTGGTCCATGAATGGATCATCCAGTTCAGACCATGGATTTGATAGTCTCTCAGTACCAGAGTCTGAAATAGGTTTGATTTAAAATGGATTCTGCAAAAAACTAAAAGGGCCACCGATTTTTGTTGTTTTTTTTTATCGGATGTTCCTTCACTTATCAAGCTGTAATTACCTTTTCTTTACCCATCATGTATTCCGGTTGGGTCTTAACTTCGTGAAATTTAGGTCTATATTTAAGTACTTTACAATGCCTAGTTGGAGTCATACTGGATTGTTCTCGCGTTTCGAATTCGGCAATTTTGTCCGGCCATTTTCGCTGAATCAGCACTGAATCTTCCCACGTTGAATCGGCATATGGAAGACTTTGCCATTTTATGTAATAATCCGTACCACCGTCTGGTTTGTTGTATTTAGCTACAAGTTAATAAATGCTTTTCAATGCCATATATTCTTTGATTTAATGAAATTTAGACAAAGGAAATAAACAATGAATGAACACGGTCAAATATCTTTTATTTATTCGGTTTTTTTTTTAAGTTGTTTACCTATGATCCTTTCAACTTCATTGTAACTTTTTAACAGATCTTGCGTCAATTCCATCTGACATTCATAATACTCGACGTCTTCAGGCGTGGAATAATGTAATAATTGTTGAATTTCGTGTTCCTTTTTCTGAAAGTTTTCTAATTTTTTGAGCCCCTTGACTTTTTGCTCTCTCAGACTCCTTTCAGATTCCCACGTGTTGTGTATATGTGCCCAATCTTTCCATTTAATGAAATATTGTTCTTCCGTGTTTTCTTCATCTTTTTCACTGACACCTGCATTCGGATCACCGTTTTCTTCCACATAGTAAATTGTTGTGATATTACCAGTCACTGAAATATTCGAAATTGGTAAATAAATAAATAATAGAAACTGGGAATGAAAAAAATATGGACAAAATAGTTGCAATTTTGGAATTTCATGGATGAAGGTTAAATATGAAGTTATAAATAAAAATAAAACTGTTTGCTAGGTAAAATTTTGTTATAAATAACTCTTTAATGACTAGTACATACACATTTGATGTTTTGCCAATTATTACAAAATAAACCTTAAAAAAAAAAGTAATAATGAATTGGATTTTAGTTAAAATTAACAATTTTTCTTATTGTTTAAAATACAAAACGCAAAATATTGATTTGCCTTCTTAATTTTATTCTTTATGCAAACTGGATTACTTAAAAAAAATGGATTGTTTGTTAATCTACAAATAAATACAATATAATAGAGTGTTACCCAAAAAAGTGCTGTATTTATAAGCAAATTTCAAATTAAACATACATATAGTGCATAGTTTTTGAATTACACTGTATACAGGGTATCTCAAACCTCTGCCAAAATTCTAAATCCAAGTAATATTAAGAGATGCAAAAAAACTTGATAATACAAATCATAGGCACTTCTAATCTAAACATTTAAAAATATATATATTTGTGCTATCACAACGTAATGTATACTCAAAAATAATTTTAAATGTAGAACTTAGAAGTACCTACGCTTTATATTAATAAATTTTTTTTTATCTCTTAGGATAAAGGATATTTAGAACTTTGTCAAAGGTTTGGGACACCTTGTAGAAAAGAAAATTATCATGATAAAATTACCTCCTTTTTTCCCTCGTCTACATGATAAAATTTTCTCGATAGTTTCACACTTCTCTTCAGGAACAGGTTCCACTGGTTCATTTTCTACTTCTAATAAATCTTCAGAATCTGTCTTTTCTTCACTATCTTCCTTATAACTAACAGCAGTGGCTTTCCTTCGCGCCACAGACCTCCTACTCTCATCATCGCTGTCTTCCTCACTAGATTCTTCATCATCATCATCGTCTTCAGAACTATATTTATTTCGTTTTTTCTTAACAACCTTTTTTTTTATCACAGGAGCACGAGATCTAACGCCGACCCTTTTGCTGGGGGGCGGTTTCTCTTTTTCTTCGTCCGATTCAGAGGAACTCGCGTCATTGTACTTCCACTCCTCACTTTTGCTACTGCTAGTTTTATCACTACTAGTTCGGTCACTATCTCTACTTTGTAGTCTTTCCGGTTCTTTTCGCGTCCTTATGGATCTTCTGATGTTTGAGGAATCGGAACTTTTCTCTGACTGAGGAAAATGGAAAAAATATATTTCCACCATTCCAGGCATTTTTTTATGCAATTTTGGAAATGTGAAGATATAATCTTCAATTCACCATACGAAATACCAAGGAAAATTTGAAAAAGATGAGAAATAAAGAAAATAAAAAATGGGAGCACCGGCCGGGGATCAAACCTGGATCTTTTGAGTATAGTCATCTGCGCCTTTACCAATTAGACCACAGAAACACATAGCTCCGATAGTCAAATTTTTAAATTTGAAGTCATCAGATTCAGACTCTTGTTGGCACAAACATTCTCATCTTTCCCCAGATCTCTCTTTTCTTTTTAAAGCCATCCTTGACTATTGTAGCTATGTGTTCTGGTGCTCTAATTGGTAAAGGCGCAGAATTATGTTACACTCTGAAGATCCAGGTCCGATCTTTCTTTTCTTTATTTCTCAGCATTTTCTACGGGGACGTGGGGATACATTTCTTAATTTTGTAGGAGGAATTGAGAATTATATATTCACGTTTCCAAATCTGAATACTCTAGTTTTTCGGATCTATAAGCGATTTTTCACCTTTCTTTCTCATTATTTTTTATATTGCTCAAATTCAGATGTACAAGACTATATTTAATTTTAGTTTGTTAGCATTTTCTATATTACAGAAAATATGCACGTTTACATATTAAATCAAAGTATAAAACATTTACCAACTATGTCGCTATGCAGATTAAAGATATTAACAACCAATATATTTTTTAAATCAGCAAAGGAATGGACAACCAGTTATGGAGATATGGGCTTTAATAATATTTCCTGAATTTCTGCAGTTGTCGACTTCCTGAATAATAGTTTTTGATATACAGGGCGTTGAAGTTGTAAATTGGCCATTTTGTAGAAATGACTGTTTCTTAAAAAAATACTTTGAATACAGATATTTTTTAAGAATAATTATTTACTGACATCAAAGAATATTTCCAGCAAAATCTATTATTACTTTCAGGGCGAGTCACAAATTACTAAAAATTGCATTTTTATTTTGGCAAGGGATTATTCTTCAAATTAATATCACGCTGGAGTAGCATAGATTTAAATAATCAAAACTATCAACTATTAGATTTTTTATAGGGCGATTCAAAAAGTTGTTACGCTGTTTGGAGTTATTGATAAAACTGTATCTATTTTTTATAACTTCTTAATAATAACCGGCTGTCTAGTCCTTTCTTCACCTATGTAACATGTTCCTTTTTTAAAATCAAAAATGACATACACTGCACTATAAAACTGACCAGGTGACCAAGCATCACTGCTAAACAATATTTTAACTCGATCTTTTTTATATGTTATAATAAAAAATTCGTCAAAAATAGGCAGTAAGAAGATGTCAAAAATGTGTAACAAAGTTGCTATTAGGCCAGTAAGCAGCTGAAAAAATCAATATTATTTTTTTTTTTTTTTTTTAACCTGGTAAGATAAAGTACCAAATGAATCGAAACTAGCAAATAATGACATTTATATTATTTTCTAGTAAAAATTACCAAATGGTTCCACCAAAAAAAATAAGATCTAATTTATGGTACAGCATATGACACACCCTATAATAAAATTTAAAATTATAAATTAGTTAATATTCCTTGCCAAATTTAGCAACAAATAATAAGGAGATTGTGGAATTATTACCAAAAAAAGGAAGAAAATTATTTCAAATTTTATTAAAGAAAGTAGAATTGATCATAATAATTCAAAGCCAACACTACCATTATGCTATGAGCCACTACTTACAGACCACCCTGCATTTATTTGATAACTCAATTATATTTGGCTACTGGCGACCAAGTGAAAATGGTAACAGCCACGGTAATGCCTCAGAAGTGATGTGGAAATTTAACAACAATTACTGACCTTGCTTCAATTAAAAAAAATCTGAAAATTTTGTTTGTAATAAATTAAAATAAATATTTATCGTATACCTGTGAAACATTAAAATTTTCCGCCTCTGGAGCCGTGACAGATGTCAGCATTTCATTACAAATTCCTGACATTTTTTAGTGCCTATAATTGACAGATTAAACATTTAACTGTTTCATAAAAAAATCTGCACGACTATTAATTAAAGTTAATCAAATTGAATTGCTTTTACTCTAAAAATCATACAATTTTACAAACAAATACCCAGGCAGCACAACTTAGTATAACTAACGTATTTTATACGTAATACTCGTTTAATTTTGGTATTGGTTGATTCCGTATACGTTTACAGTTTACGATTATTATACATACCTTGTTTTAAACGATATATTTTACGTTTTTTATATACATCCTATGGTATATAATTGTAAATTTTTCTACGTTTAAATATAGTTAACAATATACGACTATTTTTAGTTTGCGATGAACTATTTATATATATTGGGCCTAAATATACGTTTAGGTTTATTTAAATTAAATTCGTATAAATTTACATTATATTACAATATGTTTTCTTCGTTTATAATTCCCGTTTAAATTTCGTCTTGGTTGATTTTTTAAACGTTTTCCATCTACCATTTTTATACTTAACGTTCTTTAACAGATAAATTAAACGCTTCTGTTTGTCGATACTAGTTAATATACCTATATTATTCTACGTTTAAATATAAGTCACTTTAAACGCATAATACCAGTTTACGATGAACTAGTAGACAGAAGTAAATAATATGTATATATTTAGGTTTTTTTAAATTAAAAGCTTATAGATATTTATTTACATTACATCCATATTTTTTTAATTATATTACCTGTAATATTTATAACAAATTCCCCATACACATGGAACTATTTTTAGATGGCGGATGGAGGATGACGTACTAGTGGTACGGTCTTTTCTCATTTCTACTCATGCGTATGTGTAGTATTATTGTTCAGTGTAGGCAATGGTTTGTGGGAGCAGGTTCATCGGTTCGTCCATTTTCATTTGTGTACACGTTTTGTTGCATGTTTCTTTGGCGTCCTGGCTTTTACAATATTGATTAAAAGGTAAGTTTCTATTAATGTTTTAATTTAGCTACTCCTTTAATAATTGTTGCATTTTACAACAACTACTGTTTTATAGGTACGTACAGTGTGTTAAATGCTTATAGAAATTTCAAAACATAACCTTACTTTTGTTTCTTTTATTTTTATACGTATTTTTTAGGTTACAAGCATACTTATTTTCCTTTTTTTTGGTCAGTTGTTTTTTATTTAATAAAATGTCTAAAATAACCCTGTCTCTGCGTCATCTACGTAGAAAAATAGCGCAAAATGTTCAAGATGCTTTAAAGTCAAATCAATTTTTTTTATTCCCAATGAAGATAACATTAATAGATCATCTGATTCTATTATTTATAATAATTTCCAAGAAAATAATACAAATTTAACTTCGGGGCTTTTAGAAAATATTTCACCTGAAATTGAGTTACATTTTTGTTATAGGAATGGGGGTGAACCAAGCGACCTAACTGACCGAACGATTAGGTGTGCCATGCAAGATTAGCTTAAGTTAGCTAAGGCGCGTCTCTAGGACACAACACATCCAAAGTGCTTAACACTAAGATTTTTATTTTCATATATATTTTTTGTTAGTTAAAGAAAAGTTTCGTCTAGTTTGTTATTCAGTATTTTAGTGTTTATTTATTTTTTAGTATTTTATTGTTTATTTTTTTTTAATTAAATATTGTTCTGTACATATAACAAGTGATCAAAAATTTTTTCTAAATATTTAGACCAATTACAACCAAAATAGAAACACGAGTAATGCATATTTCTGGTGTATACACACCTGCTATGGATAAAATCCAAACTATCATTTAAGATATATTAACTTTTTTCATGGCCTCTTTTAGAAATTTTGTTTTTATCACTTTATTTAATTTATGTTTGAAATACATTTAAAACAATATCAGGTAGACGCATTTTACACATTAATAAAAATCATACAAATATATCTAATATAGACGTATAGTAAAACAGGATAATTAAAGGTAGATGAAGTAGTAATGTTAGACGTATAAAAAATAAAAAAAAATATACGTTTATAGGGCGGACATTTTCACGTATATATTGGGTAGCATATCAACAGTATCCATACGTATATTGTAGTACATAAAAAAACGTATTTTATACCAAAGTGAATTCGTATAAATATACTACAACTATAAATCTAATATAGACGTATAGTAAAAACGTTTAATTATAGGTGGATAATTTCTTAGTAATCGACGTTTATAAGGCGGACATTTTCACGAATATATTTGGTAGTACACCAACCGTATTCATACGTATGGTAGTACCTAAAAAAATACGTAATTTATACCAAAGTGTGCTGCCTGGGTAGTTTGATGATCCAGATATTCAGGTTGTAAGATGTTTACAATAAGTTTAAGATGACATAGCATTGAGTAATTAAGTGCTGCCAATAGTATAAATTAAAAATGACACACTCTTACACAGTTAAATATGCACGAACTGTTGCCAAATTTAACCTTGAAGTCTTGGAAAATAGGTTAGGTTTGGTTTTTGAAATTGCTGATCATTTTATTTTTGTTGTCCTACCTTCAATGACAAGATGTTACCTTATTTATCTAATACCTAGCTTCGTTTCAATAGTATTTGATGTAAAAGTCTGTTTTATCAATACATAAAAAATACAATTTTTGAAAACTGTAGCAAGACCCAGTAATGTTTTTCTTGCTACAAAGATTCTTTGTTCATTATAATTGACCCGTTTTAAATAATAAAGGTCATGGTTGATTTTAAGATTCTATAAAATGCATATGCTTTTAAAGTACACCCTGTATTCAATCAAAAGCGGCTCTAGGCCGAATTTTCAGAGAGGCATTGCATAGCAACTTTTTTGGCATCTTTTTTAAATAAAAGGCTCATTGATTATAAAAAATGTATCTCGGGGGCATCCCCCCCCCCCCCCCCCCCCCCCAAGAGCCATCCTTGTATTCAAATCTGAAGGTAAAAAGTTGAATGTTAATTGAGTTCAGTATTTCTATATTTTAAATAATGCAAACATAATTTGAAACAAAGCAAATGGCAGAAAACTGTTTAAGACTTATATTTATAGCACTTCAAAGCCCTATTTAAGCTCAGCAAACATTTGTAGTACTAATAACAATTTACCTTACATGAAGATTCTTAAACATTTTTGCATGTTGATATTGATTTACTATATTATTTATTAAAAGTCCAAAACTTTTTATCTGATAATTAGTTTTCACTTACCTCTTTTGAAGTATCTAGTCTCGATGTATCTGGACTAGGTGAATTTGAATGATTTGTGTCTTGACTATTTTCATTTTCATTATCATTAACTTCTTCCTTGTGGAAAGAGCCATTTTCTACTTTTTCTACATTTTCTGCCCCACTATCTGAACCGTCAGAAGAAGATGACCCAGATCCGCTGAAAAATCAGCTTAATTTTAACCTCCAAAAGCATACTTACTTCAAACCTAAATATTTGGATATTTAATAAAATCTTTATTATTTTCCGAATTATTGTCAAGATAATATTAAATTCATGATTTTTCCATTTAATTTTATTGTTATTAAAAATTGTTTATAGATTTACAAATTTTAATAAAATGTAAAGGAATTAAAAAATATATATATAATATAGGTATTTAAAATTAGGAATGAGTATATAAACTTTTAAGTCAAAAAAACTGATTTCAACAATAATGAGTAATATTACAATTTTTATAATATAAAATTTAAATAATGTAAAAAGGAAAAAATTAAATAGGTTATCAAGATAAAGAAAAACAAATCAGTAAACACTTCATTATGTGTATTATGTTTCAAAAATCAAAATGTGATATATTTCAGAGAACTATTCAATCAATTTAAATTGATTAGTAGAAGCTGTATATTACAATAGTTATCACCCAATATATTTGTAGGTGTACATAAATAATATATACCAAGTGAATATTAAATTACACAATGTGCAAACAGGGAATGAGCAAAATATTAAATAAATATTAAAAACTTCTTCATTTTTATTGTCACCCATTTTTTAAACAATTATTTAAAATGATTGCAATTAAAATATAATGAACTATCCATTTTTATTTGATAAATAAATTACCTACACACTTAATACTATTAAAACTCTATAGGTATTTTCTTTATGGCAGAAATAGCAATAAATGTACTAATCAAGTTAATAAAATTAATAATGAGATTGACTAAAGTACGTCAGAAAAAATTCTAGATCAAGAATGAAGGTAAATGCTTGTTGCAACTTATTATTGACAATTTTTAAGAATGTAGCTAGAATGTATGCTCATAATTATTTTTAATATTACTTTTAAAAAAATCAGTAATGAAAAACTCAATTTAGAATTAAACTACCCGTTAAATTTTACTCCATCACCAACAACTCATAAAAATTATGCAATTCTCTCTTTTGAATTTTTTTTGAATATATCAAAAATAATTAAGATCAAAAACTTATATTATGTAACAAAACAGGACAGGTAACTAAAGAAATATGTACACAATTTAAAAAAAAAGTTTATTAAGTAATGGGCAAAGATTAACAAAAGGGATGTGAAGAAAATTGGACCACTAAAGATAAACTACATTTGTATATAGATACTAAAGAACTAATAGATGATGTCCCAGCCTTCAGATGACAGTCAGTACTCAGTCACCTATTTTTGCAATATGTATACATAAATGAGGTACCATCAAGCAAGAATTCAAATGAACACATCTAAGTTAAACGTTTGACAACAACCACTTTCCAAATCTAGTAAAATTTATATTCAAGACTAAAAAATAGCTTTCTTCAAATTTCCTAAAACTAAATTTTGACAAGAACAAAATAAGTTATTCAGAAATTAAAAAGACTATGTCCTAAATCATTGATAAATATAAAACAAAATTAAAATTTAAGTCATCAAATCTTTCATATTAATGAAAAAAATTATTCTAATTGCAGCCCCTTGAAAAAACTATTTAATTAAGAAATTTACATATGCTTAGGGTTTTCAATGAATTATATTTTTAAAATAATTTTAACAATAGTACTCAAAAATCTGTAGAAGTATCTGGAACAGTAATTTTTTTATAAAATCTACTGGAACTGAGAAGAAGTTAATAAAAATTTTTTGCAGCTGGTTAACATAATATAGATATCATTACAAGTTTTACTTACCTCCCTGAATTGTTACTGGAAGATTCACTCTTACTGCCATTCTCTGAACCTGATGCAGAATTGTCTGAGTCAGATGCATCACCCATCTATAAAAGAGAACAGTTTAGAAGATAACTCAATTTTTATTATAATTCATCCAAAGTTTGTGAAGAAATGATACACAGTTCATGTACTATATGTATGACGGTTTTTTAATTCATTACATTTTAACTCAAAAAATGATGTTATTGTGACTCTAATAATAATGCAGGCAGTTTGCTTTCTTATTGAACCTCTTTAACTAATAGGTATTTGTAACATTTACACTTTAACCAATATCTACCTACATTTTGAGGTTATCTTTTAAAAAATGTCTTAAAATAAATAAAAATAAAGAATATTGAAAGCCTATTAGTACATTTACAAATAATTTTAATAGAGGAGGAAATGCAGTAAACAAAAAGGTATTTTTATAAATGATTTTTTTTTTACTTCCGGGGGGTTGGGGTGCAATTATAATTTGAAATAGTTTTTTAAAATTATGTTACAACAGTTCCTAGAGCTTCATTACAGCAGCAGAAGCTTGAAGAACAGCTACAGATGAGGACTGATTCAATTCTAAGGTAAAAATATATATTTTTAAACACCCCTTAGGAAATATTTAAATAAAAACTGAAAACTGGAGGGATATGATTCATTTACAGGCATAACATTACAAAAAGCTGCACAGGGAAGGAAAATCTGATCTTATAATGTCCTTAAACAATCAGAAAAGCTATGTAGATAGTCTTATAACTGTAAAGTCCCAAGTTTAGCTCAAAATTGCTCAAAAGGGTCCATCTCAAAAATTGAAAATTTCTGTTCAGGGAGGTGGCTTATAGTTCCAAAAACGTAAATCCAACAAAAACAAGGTGGAACACTTGCTCCTTACATATATTTTTCTTAAGAAACTGCTTGTAAACAAAAATGTTCAAAGAAATTGTGAAGAATATGTTAAACGTGATAGGAACCACGCCCTTGAGATCACATTGAAATATCACCTAGAGGACAACGCTAAATACAAAAAAACATAGTTTACATTAAATTTACACTAATAATTTAATATTTTTAAGGGTTAACTTACTTCTGGCATTTTCCAACTGGAATTTAATATTTTCTAGTGTTTTATGGCAGAAAACCTTGTTTAAAATTATTTCAATAAACACTATAAACATTACTAAATATTATCATAACGTTAAAATAAGTGTAAGTTTCAAATAAAAGAAATAAAATGTAACTTAGTTACAAATTGCTCTTTGAAGAGCACGGTCAGCCGCCATTTTGTACTAAATAAGACGAAAAGAAGTCTATAAGCTTAAACTGAAGTAAAAACAGAGAAATATCTACACTTTCAATGCACTATTCTTGAAAATTCACTTTGTCTAGGTTAGAATATCACAATTTTCCACTAGATAGGGTTAAGTTTGTTATTTGACGGATCTACAAATCGACGTAAATGTAATTCGCAGCCATGTTTAGTTTTTTGGTGAATCGACAGCGTAGTTAAATGCGCAATCGTCAGCAATAAGGAAGGGGTATAGAATCTCTGACATAGATTTGACGTCACATCATGAACCGCAAATCAAGAGTATTTAAAGATTAGTTTTCCTTAAAATCTGAGTGGTCGAATAGGAAATAAAAGTAATCATTTGGCCAATCAAAATCATCTAAATTTATTTCCGTTTCCGTTGTGCACAAAATTTGAATTTGCAATTATTAGAGGATATATTGTATTTTTTTTTATTAAATATCTAAGACATTCATCCACTAATTTATATTATACAATATACTAAACTATTATTGTGGCATATACCTAGATAAATAAATAAATAAAATAAAAAACATCAAAGTAAGCAGCTTGTTTTCTATTTGGCTTTTTACCCCTTACACAAGGTAGGTACCTTAATTATAATATAAAATACGTAAATATAAGGTTTAAATACACTATTTTGGTTTACTGTTTGTATTGCGAATCTGCTATGTGAAACTCTCAAAATTGAATGATTTAATGCTACACGAAGGGTAAAAATTCTTAATTTATATAATTATTGTATAAAGGGTGTTTTTAAAATAGACAATATAGGTATTCGCGGGTCGATTAAGCAAGTATTAAAAGGTTGTCTTAGAGTAGGTACCTAAGTAAGCCAAAATTACATAAGGGAAGCACTCATTTATATCTTGAAATTGTTAAAATAAAAACAATAAAAAAATTAAGGTATGAATAGTTCTAATAGAGTGATAAAAAGTGTTCTACTTATCTATAAAATGTTATGCGAAAACATAGGCAAAACAAACAAGATTTTCTAAGCCAAAGAAATCAACATTAACTCGGTTCAAACTACAAAGGTGGTTTTGATACATATATACCCAAAAAATAAGACAAATTAAGATAGAATACTACCTTTTGGCATGTTGATAGGTACTTTGCTCGATGCTTGAAATATATTTCACTCTACTTCCACTCTAAAATATCCACGTCGGAAAAACACTGACAGTAATACACATTACTGTAATACTGGTTGCCTATTAATTCTGCCGTAAACCTGTGCCGTCAACTAAAAGATTATTTACATTTTTTAAGATATCAGGATAAGTAAGACTTTTTACAGTTACATAATTCTAGTCTTTTTTAAATAAAGCTTTTCTTAAGACATATCTATAAGAAAAGTCGATTATTCGGTAAAATTAATAAATTTAAAATTATTTCTCAACACGATCGATCATCTCGCCATCTATGGATGAAATAGTGTATTTCTGTCTTTGGAAATGCTTTTAATACATTCCAGAGATCTAAGGTTTCCACTGTTTCTAATGGTTTTCTACAATTACTCTCCAAAATTATATATTCAAACCTATTCGATGTCCTGCTATCCTGATATTTACAGTTGTAGATTGTTGGCTTGTTCACGTGCAAGCTGATGCGTGCGTCATAGCAACGAACTCTGACTTTTGTGTTTATTTCTGGATTTATGGGTTGGTACAGGGGTGACGATTTTGATTTTTCAGTGGGGTGAAAAGTGCGAAGGTTATTTTATTAGCAGTTAAAGCGAACGAACATATCCTCGTTAGGTATTGGTAACTCCAAAAAAGGATAATTCTCTAGCGGCTAACTTTCACATTGAGTTATAAGGTAATCCAGTAATCCAAAGCGACTCTCGTAACTTATATATTTCTTAAGAAATCTATCCGACACTGGGTGGTTAATAAAATAAGACTAATTTGTTTGGTAAAAAAATAATAATTCCTATATTCTTATAATATTAACAACATGCCACTAACCTCATGATACGCGATCACCATACGATCGCCAACGAGTGACTCCGTCAAGTGATGACGCAGCTCAGCTGTTTTCTTATTGTAATCGGACTCTACCTATTATGCCATTTCGTACTCGGTTCTCACGTCCTGTTCTATTTTCTGTAATCCTGGTTAAAGTTTTTGATTTAGACTTAGAAAACCGGTTTTGCAGAAAATAGAAACTAGTTGTCGAGATGAATGCACATTAAATGCGCCTTGGCCAGATGTTCGGAAGATAGAAGAAATATTAGAAAAGTTAATTAGTTTTAATGTTGTTCTTAGTATAACTATAAGATGCACCGATTGGATAGGACTGGTTTTAATCTGATATTGACCAGCAGAGAGAAATATTATGCAAAAAAAATGGAAATCGTACTATTTAGCTATGTTTTTAATAAAACGGTTGCACAAAAAGAAAACTTTAAATTATTCGGTAGGATTGAGTTGTCTCCCGAATTTAACAGGTAATTTTTTTGGGTCCGAGTTACCTCCCGAGTGGGGTCGAGTTGTGTCCCGTATCTGATAAAAGGTAGATTTTTAATGGGACGTTTTAGGTTTGTTTTTAATTTTTTTTTTTTTTTTCGTTTTATGTATATGTTTTTGCGAAGCTATCCACGATGGCTCTAGGCCGTATAGGTTAGATTAATTAGTTAAGTTTTTAATTTTTATCATTTTATGCACTTATATTTTTTTGCGAAGGAATCTGCTGTCTGATAACTCTAGGCCGCACAGGTTAGGTAAATTATTTAATTTTTTTTACTTTCTTATTTTATATATAATTTTTTGATAAGCGCCCAGCAATGGCTCTATGTCGCACATGTTAGGTAAATTATTTAGATTTTTTTAAATTTTTCTCATTTCTGATATAATTTTTTTTTTTAAGCATCCCGGGAGACAATTCGGTCATGACCTTTTTGGTACCGGTAATATTTTGACCCCGTCCAAATTTTTCTGATAATGATTATTCAACTTTAAACTCCATCACAAAAACACTGTCCAAATTATTGTTTAGATCAGTGTTTCTCAAACTTTTTTGGCGACGGAACCCTCTTGAAAAGCGAAATATTTGACAAAGCCCTAAAATAGATTTTATAAAATTTATATTGGTTTAGATAGGTTTTTACTTTGCAACCCCGGGGCATTTCTACAAAAACAAGCAAAATCAGATCCCTTCTTAGTGAGATCTAAAAAAAGGTCCTTCAACCAGGTCCTCTCTTTTGTGACAAACTTCCTCATAGTACTCCGTTAGTATTTTGTTTAATATGACTATTATTTTCGCGGAGCCCCCATGGAGGCTTTGCAGAGCCCCAGGGCTCCGCGGAGCACTCTTTGGGAAACACTGGTTTAGATAATTAATAAATATATATTAAATCCATTATTATAAAAACAGCTCTTGCGGCTTACTCTTGATATACCGTGAATTAACATCTAACAAGTGTCGCATGTAATCAATATTGCACGTTTCCAATGACAAACGTAACCAATGGCACACATAACTAATGACAAACCTAACAATGACACTTGTTAAATTTATTTTTTTAAATACATGCTTATAAACTGAAGGAGCTTCCAGATTGTTCTTAGTCTATCTAAGCCCTTAAATATTATGTAAACAGTGGCCCATGTAACCAATGATCATAGGCGCCCTATTCTCCGGGATTATATCCGACGGGGCCCTGGCCCTATGAAAACGTCCCCATCCGCTCATCGAATACCGACGCGATATGCATTCTGCGCAAGCAGGCGAATTAATACGCCCATGTATAAAGGTGGGCAGAAAATAGGAGTAGGTATAGATCGATTTTTTAAAAAAAAAACACCCTTTTATTTCCAGGGGGCCGTGCCATGACGCGGGCTAAAAAATATCAATATCTTAATATCATTTTAAACTTCTCTCCATTTGATCTTTCTTTTTTTACAAATTTTCCCGCCAAAAAAGTTATATGTAGGTATTTTCCAGTTCTATTCCCAGACAACACACTAAATCCCGAAGATATCCACAGAATATATTTTGTGGATATCCTACATATCCACAGGATATTATAGATATCCAGTGGATCTAATATGGATACCCATATGGATCCAATATGAATACCTATATCCAGGATATAGAAGATATTCTATGGATATCCATCAAAATATCTAATAGGTACCTTTAGTAGAGGTTCATAAGTAACCAATTGATATATCCTATAGATGTTTAACATATCCAGTGTACCTACATCTATTATTTGATATATTTAAAATATCGAAAATTATATGCCTATAGGGTGTCGTATTTAATGTTTCATTCATTTTTTTTTGAAAGATAAGTGGAACAATGTACTGCATAATCTAAAAACATTCCATATGAAGAAAATCAGCATTTCAGTAGCATAATATCGGAATTATCGAAGTATTTTTAATTTGGTATATACACCTATACAAGGTTTACTATTTTTGACGCTACACAGCATAGGTATAGCATGTAGAGTAGAATGAGTATCAACATTTTATTTTTACAATTAAATAATGTACACTATACCTAAAAAACCACCAAAATGTCATGTGAAGTAAGTTTTAAACTTAATACAACGCACGAGTTATCTAACATATAAATCTTACAAATAAATCTTATTCTTTATTGTTGTTATATTAAGTATAGTTAGGTAAAACAAAGACAAATATTATGAGCAGGCTAAATATATTTAAAAAAGTAAACTATAGTATAAACATTCTATTATATTAAATAACAGTACCCGCAGCCAAGGAAAACCTAAACCTAATCACACTACACACACATTATATGGAGCAGAAATTTCAACTGGAATTTTCTTCCTGAAAAAAAGACGCTCTGTTGTAGAATTCCTAAAAAAGTGAAACTACATTTTAAATCAAGCTATACCCAAAAAGAAAATGAACTCTGAAAAAAGCCTTTTGTGCAGAGTGTCACTTATACAATATATAACACTAACCAATAATTTAAAAGTCTATCAACCTTTTACACTAATTTAAGTTTTAAAGCTTCCTTACCTCCTTTTAATCCAAAATTATCAAATAAAACTCACACGGCACAAACAAAACGAAAACAAACACTAAAATGGCCGATGGCACCTGTGAGGGCAGAAACTATCCGCGCCTGCGCTCGCGTTCATTGCCAATATTTATCTAGTGGATATCTGTGGGTTATTGAATACAACTTACTAATTTTAAATTTTTATAAACCATACCTACATACTTTCTTAGTTATCACATGGCGTAAAATATTTAAGTAATTTAATAATTATTAAATCAATTCACATATTTTCCGATATTTAGGTACATAAATTACATCTAGTGGATATCCACCATGGTTTGCGTTCGCGCCTAGACTTTGATATATTTAGTGGATATCCATGGGATATTGAGTACACCTTGAAAAAAAATTAATTTTAAATATCTAAACGGTACTATTAGCCACAATGGCGTAATTTTTTAATAATTTGTTATATAATTACTATTATTTATGGACATTTGCATGTCTATAAATTACATATCATGTATATAAAATAGATATCCACCATGGACTGGACATTCAGTGGATATTGGGATGCCCAGTAGATATCGACAGGATTTGGTGTGCTGTCTGGGTTGCTTCTGACGAACTACCTATTCCAGTTTATTTTTCTTTTATCTGCCATTCTTACTCGATGTGCAAATTTACCTTATGGCCAGAGAAATCCTAGTGAAATTATAGAAAAACTTATTAGTAAAATATTTACCTGATAATTTTTTTTTTTTCAGGTGGGTTTTACAACTTCTACTAATTGAACAATGGGTAAGTTATGCATGTATTTAAATACTTATTACATACATGAGCAAAGTACAAAACTTTTAAATCAATTATTTCATTTTTTTATACTAAAATATGTTATTAAAATTATTCATCAGTCAAATCAAAATTATATTTATATTTAGGTATTAAGGTTATGTTTATACAGTGTCTTCATAAAGTGTGAAAACGCTCCAATTATTTAAGTATTACATACATATTATCATGAGCGTCTGCAGGAAAAAGTCATGGGGGGCGGCAATCAAAAAAGTATCAGTTTATCAACATCTAAATTTTATATGTATACAAAAATAATAATAGTGAATTAAAAAAATATAATCTTCCAATTAAAAAAAAATCGATCGATATTGTGAGACAGTGGGGATAAAAATTAATTTTTTGATAAAAAAAAACTAAAATTAAAAATCGACCTAAAATAATTAACTCGTAAGATAATGAAAGATTTCCCTACATTATGAACGCATTGTATATGAGATATGAAAAATAAATAAATGTTATCCTGTAATTCCCATGCATACTAGTTCTTACCTCCCTAGTCATTTGAGTCTAAAAATCGACCTCCGAAAATAATTAACTCGTAAGATAATGAAGCATTTCCCTACATTATGAACGCACTGTATATGAGAGATGGTAAATAAATAAATGTCATTCTGTAATTCCCATGCATACTAATTCTTACCCTCCCTAGTCATTGGAGTCTAATGGACGCGCTGTTACAATCAATCAGAAATCAAATATCCTCACGTTATATTCAGTTTATTTTGAACTAGATTATAAAAAAGTCACATTCATTATAATTTTTACCCCTATTTATGTTAATAAAAAGTGAAAACACCAGTGATTAGTATTAAGATGAACGATAATGATGATGATGATGATAATATCATCCATATTTATTTTATTTATCTCTGTCGATAATAACGCATATAAAATTTGTTTATTAAAAACTACGCTGTTTCAGACAATTACTTAAAATTATTGACATAGTTGACTAGATAATTAAAAGAAAATGATAATCACTAAGTCTTCACCACACAACAAATTTTATTAGACAGGGGTAGAAGCGACTAGTTTCGGTCAGATACCATCATCAGGCCTGTAAGAAAATATGAACTTACATGCCTGATGATGGTGATTTTCATTTCCTTCAAGGATAAACCTCATTTGAGATATGAATAACTTTCTTACAGATAATTAAAAGACCTTTCAAATGATGTATTGCTTAAACCATATTTCTATTTAAAACATCATCGATGACTTCATCACGCTTGCACGTATAACGTCACGAATAAAAGGAATATTTGACAGAATGCGCATTTGAAAATAAAAATAAACGAGTTTCAGGATTTTTTCCAGAAGTCGACGAGATAAAAATATTTATTTATTTTATTTGCACTCTACTGTATTTTTTGTATTCCAAAAAATAATTTTGATCACAAATTTTGGAGTTCTAATACATCGTTCTATAAATTTGAAATTGTTCTAATATTTTAATAGAAAGTAAACTATTTGAATACATAATGTCAACAATATAGTTGGAAAAACGTTATGTGATAATAAGGAATATATGGGACAGTTTGCTGAATTGTACTGATAATATAACTGTATCATCAATTTAACTTCATTAACAAGTCTTGTGTACGTAAAATAAGGATGAAATTTCTGTTAGTTTCGTATTCATAAGATTCTGTAGACTCGAGTGTTAGATGAAATTTGGTTGTGATTGACAATGTTTCGTTTTATCGTGATATTGACGCTGTTTTTATTGACCAACGCATTAAGTACTGACCACAATAATTCGAGTGTTTTAATTTCAAAATATGCTAAAGTAGTTAGATGGGGTGCCAATAGTACAAATCAAGAAACTGGAAGAAGCAATGGAGCCCAATCCATTTGGACACCAAGGTAAATAATCTACAATTAAAATAATTATTTTTTATTTGTCAATTTAGATTATTTCAAAAATATAACCCTTAAAAACCTACCTTCTAATTTGGAGTACCTTCTCATTATTCTTATTCATTGAAGATAATGATATCGTTATTAAATATATCAAGTTCATTTAAGTGCTTGTAATAACGTGATTATGCCTTCAAATGATACATAAGTCGTTTATACTTTAAAAACCTCTTGTTTGATCAATTTCATCGCATATTCTTTACGTTTTAAATAACCTACAATTTAATTGTGTGAAAAACGGTGATCTAGATGCTCATTTAATAGATCTTATTCTTCCAATCCCTGTGTTTCCTTTGTGTTGAAACCATACATTTCAAATCAGTTAGTTAGCAAAAATTTTGACCAAGGCTCTTGTGCTGTTATCTCAATAGACCTGTTCAAATAATATCGATATATATTGTTGTACTTTTATCTATATTACTTTGTTTACATTAACTATTTTATTAAAATTTCAGATCAAGCTCTGCATCCAATTCCAAAAATCAAGTAGTCTACCAGTACCCGGTATATAGAAAAGTCGATGAAGAAGAATCAGAAAAAATCCCAGGAATCGGCGAAGTAATACAAGATCGATTCCAAGTCAGACCATACTTTGGATACGGCAAAATACCTCCAAATCCTACGCCTAGTGCAGCACCGATAAGACAAGCCCCTCCTCCTGCTCCTACTGTACCTAATGTTCCTTTACCATCGAGGCAAGCACCTCCACCTTCTCCTGCTATAGTTAACTTTCCAGCTCCAAATGCTTCGCCTCCATCTTTACCATCTCTAATTCGTCCTGCTGCTTTTAATACAGGAGGAACGCCGTCTGCACCTCAAGTTCCTTCTAATCTTTACGATTCTCCCTTTACTTCTTATAATCCTCCTCCTTCTGATCAGAATGGGGATAGTAATCAGGATGCTTATCCGCCAAATTCCCCAATTTCTGATTCCACAAATGGTGATTCTTCCTCTCCAGGTGTAGATTCGTATGCTGATATACCTGTATCAAATGATGGACCGTATCAGTATCAATCAAAGCCTGCAGCATCATCTCCAAAACCTATGATGCAAAGCCAAAAAGATAATAAACCTCAATATGGAAGCTATTATGATGACATAGAAATGGGGCAGAATTCTGATAACATGCATTCTGATAGAAAGCCTAGTATGGATTCAAATTCTCATGGAGATAATGGACGTCCAAATCATCCTCCCAAAAGTATAGACGATGTTTATTATCCACCAGATTTTCCCAAAGAACAAATTCCACATGACCAAAATACTGATGATATGGCAGCTCCCGATATCACAAATGGTGATATGACAATGGATCTAGTACCTCCTTCTCACGGTCATGATTTTCCTAAATATTTATATGATAGTCCTCATTACGATCATCATGTTTACGAAGAAGTTCATCATACAACTACTGCTGCACCAGAGAAGAAAAGAGTCAGCACAACAAACTACAGTTACTACTATTTAGGTCGTAAACTTTGGTACATCCCCTTGTATTTCAGTATTTATTTCATGTTGTATGTTACAGCTCTTATTATTAAATCCATAGCTAGACATAAGGTTACTTACAGGAACGACTGGATCACAGCAAATTCAAGAAGCGCTAGAGATTTGACTTTTGATCATATGGAAACTATTGACAATATACATAGAAATATTTCAGTTGCTTTAGATAGAGCTGGAAAATTATATTCGGATTTGTCGATGTAAGAATATTAGAAATAAAATTTTTAAATTAAATGATCGTTTTGTTTTATTTGTTTATGGATTACTTTACAGGGTCTTCACAACTTAATCTCATTTAGGATTAATAAATAGGAAGAACCAAATTTAAAACTAAAATGATAATTTTGTATAATTCAACATCTTGCTATGAATATGACTAAGTTTATTATTGGATCTGATTATTAATAGTCTCTTTGAATTAGTTTTTATGTTAACATAGCAAGAGCTGCTCCAGAGGGCCATGCCCCACCCCGAAGTTAAAATTCTTATAATTCATGAGCCTTTTATTAAAATTGTTATTGGCAATGCCCCCTCCTCCCTCCGAAAATTCGGCCTGGAGCCATCCTTATTTAATAGTCTCAGCAACTTCTACTATGGAAATCAAAGTAAAAAGCTTGACAAATATAAGTCCCAATTAAAAACAGTGAGTTCATTATTTGCTTCTGAAGACTCTATAGTTGTAAAAGTAAAGAGCAAATGTATAAGTCAATATATTTTCAACATTCATTGACAAAACAACATTACAAATAAATAAATGAGATGTTAATCAGAATTAAATAAAAAGTTAGAAACAAAAGAGTAATAGAATAGAATAAAAAAGGAAAATAAAATACTAAATGAGAATTAATTGGACAAGTTTTAAAGTTTATTGAAGAAATATTACCACTTGTAACGTTGAACATGGAACACTCAGAAGAAGAGCGTCTATATGAGAAAGATAAGTCATAAAGATCTTAAGAACACAGGGAATAATCTAGATAGCCGTAAATAATAAAAAAAAAAACTACAGTATCCTGTGGGAAAAGTTTTTTGTTTAGTAAGTTTAGGTACCAAGGTGACAACTAGGTACAATGCCCTAGAGAGAATATTACAGTATTATTCGCACACTGAGCATATTAAAGACAAAGAAGAAGAAGAGAAGAAGAAGAAGAAGAAGAAGAAAAAGAAGAAGAAGAAAAAGAAAAAGAAGAAGAAGAGGAAGAAGAATAAGAAGAAAAAGAAGAAGAAGAGGAAGAAGAATAAGAAGAATAAGAAGAAGAAAAAGATGTAATAGGAATGAGATATCTAAAGGAGAGTAATGGGAATCAAAATTTAAGACCAAATAAGAAACAATCGATTAAGAGATAGTTGTTTCCGAGTTTTCAAATTATTCTACTACTTATTTCAGATAATTCTGACCTTTCGGATTTTGATTTGCGATCCATAATATATTAAATTCTCAATTTTCCTACTCAGGTTTAAGTCGTTAACATACATTGAAAACTTAGGCTTAGTATGCATCAATGCATTTCTCATATAGACCGATGCTGTATAGAGGTATTTGAAGATTTGAGAACGAGCCTGAAACGGCGCTTGGCCCGAATTAGCACATCTAGTTGCCGTCTAGGAATCTCGACAATTATTGTTCTGGCGGTAAGGGCATTTGTGTACAGAGTAAAGATGTCTGGGTTCGAATCATAGCGGCGACAGGCTTTTTTCAAATCTCCAAGTATGTGTTTTCACCTTTGGAGTTCAAGGATGGTCTTAATAATTCGTAAGAGGATTTTTGGGATTTGTTTCCGAATTTTCAAATTATTCTACAACCTATTTTAGATAATTCTGACCTTTCGAATTTCGATTTGCGAACTACAATATATTAAATTCAGAATTTTCAATTAAAAGTTAATTTAGCAATCCTGGGTGGTTTTAAATTTGGAAAATAAATAAGAAAAAATTCCAAGTTTTGAAAGGGTTGTCATATTTTGAAAAAGGATATAAAGATTTTGTATCGAATTAAATAGATAGATAGTTTTTTTTTTAATGTTACATTTGTTTATTTTAAACAACAGTTTATTTGTAAATAATTTATTTAAACACCTATTTATTTTATAACACTACTATTCTAATTTATATATATTTCGAAGTCTCTAAATTGTTCACTATTTATCTTCACAGCTGTTTGTATACGACCGACTGCTGCGTTGATCCTCTACCAATATTTATATACAAATTTAAAATTCTGGTGGATTCGAGAATGATCTCCGCCAGAATTAGAGACATTATCACGTTTTACTTGGAAAGATCTCGAAAACGCCTCCACCATAGTTGTCACATATGTTTGGTCTTAAGGGGTTTAATTATGTATGATAATGGGACAAGTTGAGCCTCAAAGGCCAAATAAGACAGAGAGGGACTTGGAGGATTGAAGCATGACTGAATAATGAAATGGCTCACACAACAATAATGTTGAATTAGAGTTCTGGAATAAAGAGAATTTTATTTAATTGGAGGCTGAGTAGTAGCAGAAAGGAGAGCTGAAACGAGGAATTGAGGAAGCAAATATGGATAAATAGAGGGTGAAGACAGAGCAGACCCGAGATAGTAGAGTGAGAAGGTTGAGCAGTTGGAGCGGAAGCAAGAAAAAGAAGAAAAAGAAGAAGAAGAACAAGAAGTATTTTTTATAAAATGTAATTTTTTTATTAAATTATGTTGCTAAAATTCTTACTGATTTTGTAGATTTGAACCCACCCCAATATAAGATTTGTCTTATTTAATTGGATATATATCTACAGGGTAATTTCATATCAATTTATATTTATAAGAATCCAGTAGAAAAATAATGTAAATACATAAATTGTCAATTTTTTGAATAAATGATTGAAAAACTTAATAACGAAATTGTGTTTTATGTGTTTAACTGTGCAATTAAGAATGGAAATTTTCGTTCATTTTGTTGTTTCCTTTTCTTACAGAAGTTGAGACAACTTGAGCTAAATACCTACATCAGTAATTAATGATTTAATAAATTTACTCCAGATATTAGGAAACGTAAATATGAATAACAGAACGTAGATCAATGTTTGTCATTACAATTATAACCTCACAAAGCCGTTATTTCATACCTGTGTTAAATCATTTTTCATTTTGAACGCTAATCACAAAGTGTCATAGAAGAGTTTCGGATTCAGAGCAATAATTTTTTTGTGTGTATTTTTTTGTAACATTTTGATACGTAAACTTAGCCGTAGTGTTGTTTTGTAATTTTTATATTAGTTTTATCGAAAATGTACAAAATGTGCACGTATGTTACTTGGTTTTTACTTGTTTGCGGTTGCTTATCTATGTATACGTTTGCTTTGAGCACTGGTCGAGCATCTGTTAGTGAAAATTACCCTATTGCTACAACTACAATTAGGCCAACAGAAGTTTCCACAAAATCAAGGTAAGATATCCATTTCGTATTTTCCTCTTTATTCCTTTTGTAAAATGATCTAATACCGTTTAATAATGATAGCTATTTTTGTGCCATTATACACGGTCTTTATTTAAATATTTTACAGAAATTTTAATATAAATGTACAGGTTTGGTTTTTGACATTATTTTTAGACACTTTATTCGTATACGTATGTTATGTAAAAGTTATGTTTGGGGTATTAATACACTGTGCAAGGGAATAGTATCGATGCCTATAACAATCCTAGCTTCTCAAAGAAATGTAGGATTTGTAGTTGCCCCAAGTTAGGTAGATTGCACTTTGATATGGTCCCAGGAGTATAGCGCTCTTGGATTCTGGAGTGTTACACATTCAGATAGATTGTGAATGAAGGTTTCGTCCTCCTCCTTACAGAATCTGCACTCACTATCTTCTACTAGTCTCAGTTTCCTAAGGTGTCCTTTGAGTTGGCAATGCTATGAAAGAATCCTTGTTACAATCAAGAGATCGTTCCAATTTTCGGTTCTTTTATTGCCTAATTATTTTTCTGCTGATACCTCAAAACGGCTCAGGTCCCTCAAAGAGCGAGACTATCTGCAATCTCGTTGCTCTTTACCCTGTTATGTCCCGGGACCCAAGTGAGAGTAACTGTATTTTCCTTGCCTAGCTCATTCAGTTTTTATAGTCATCTCCAGACCATTTTTGAGCTGATAACGTAAAAGATCTGCGCTTTGATGGTTGCTTGACTATCGACCATGATGATAATCTCTTCTAATAGTTTCTTTCGATGTTGAATTGGATACACTTCTCAATGGCGTGATCTTTCGCCTGGAAGATGCTTGGGTATTTGCCCAAACTTTCGGGGTACCTGATTCTAGGCTCATACATTCCTATTCCAGTTCCTTCCATGCGATTTTGGAACCATCTATATATATATTACTAAATTGCATGCTCTGTGAATAAACGTCCTAAAACTATAGCTGATAGTGTAACTGCTTCTTCGTTTCTTAACCCTTAATCACGTCCTGACAACATTCAAAAGTGACATTGATGAAGACTCAAGAGAGTGTTGACAATTTAAAATTAATTTTGATTGTATTTTTATTATTTACAACACTTTAATAGCAGCATATCTGTCTAATATGACAGTACTAATTTTAAATTTCTTATCGAAGGTATGAAAAGGGCTTAGAAGACTATGATGAAGCTGTAGCAAGCTCGAGGAAAGCAAGAGGTATGGTTGATTACAATGATTATGACCATGACCATCACCATGACATTATAGTAGATCATCCACCAGAAATGATGAAAATGAAAGAAGAAACCAAACAAGCTTCTGACGTTTGGACAAGTTACTACGAGTTCATTATCAATGAAGGATCATTTAAGTTTTGGGCGGCTTTTCAGGTGAGTTATTTTTCCTTACAGTATATGGATCCAATAATATTTAGAAATTCACATCGAAAAATAGAAAAAAACTTACCGTAGATATTTAAAAAATTTACAATAACTATATATCATGAATTAAAGGTGATAAAAACTCACCCTACTTTTCATACATTATTGGAGTGCTAGTAAAACATTCTTTTCGATGTAAGGTTTAAAGAATTTTCTGATAGCATGTTTAGTTCGTGAGATATAACCATTGTAAGTATTTAAATTGTCACCCTATATTTTATTACATCTCCTTAATTTTCAAAACAATTTTCTGTTGAATGCAAGTTGATTTCTAAAATTATTCGTGTGTTTATCTCTGCTTTGTACCTAAATGGATTTATGTAAATTTCTCGTAAGAGATTTAAACTGCTACCTTAAGATAAGAGGTATTTAAAATTGGCATACAATCACTTTTAATAAACACCCAATAATTTCTCATTATTACATTTGCACAATTCATACACCATAATAACCTCTAGACTAATTTTCATACATTGTTTGCGACTCGGCAAATGATTGATGCTAAAATAATTACAAAGTAAGCAAAGATCATTTAAAAATATATTATTTTTTGTAAAGATTCATCTTCACACAATATTATACGAAGTTAATTATACAGCAGTAACGTGAAACAAAAAAAATTTAATAACTTGCCATATCCATTCTCGTCAGTGTTGTATCCGCTTGATATAATCCAAACAAAAGATGAAATTCCCAACATTTTAAGCTCAATTTTAGCTATTGCGCTGTTTTGTAACTATGAATACATCCATAATAATGTAATATAGATAATTATTTAAAGAATTCGGAGATAATACTGTAGGAGATGAGATTTAGCTGTTTCGATGGCTGATATTCACTTACAGGCAATTTGGTGGTTGGGAGACACGCGACTTTGAATCCTACAACAGATCATGTGAATGTTTAATTAATTTGGATGATTCGTTATAGGATTTGATTGGTGCCGTATTAGCAGTAAGTAATTTAATTTCTGTTGATATGGCATCCAGATTACAAATCGCCAGGCGTTATCGGTTTGATGATAGAAGGTGGGTTTTCTGGGTTCTCTCACCTTTAAATCAAATTAGGAAGAGTACCTATTATTATTATTAATATGAACCTGTTAGTTTACATTAGCTACAATTTATGAGGGTTTCTGTTATGATCTACTATTGAGGTCTCCGTATTAGTTACATGAGCTAAGTGTCACAAATCAAATTTATCCTCATGTAAAATCTTACAAGCAGAAACGTCAATAAATATAATGAATGTACAATAGTCGGCGATATTCCACGTTTACACAACAAATATTATATAGAACAAGTTTTAAGAACACTTTGAAAATAGTAATACAGCTATGGGCGCAGGTTTTAGAATACTTTGATCCTATAAAAAATTCTATAAGTATTGTAGATCACTATTATAGAATAGTTCTAAGAACTATTAAAGAACATTGCATAACATCCCAACAAACATTTTGGTCTGGGGAAACAATGGCCCAACAACTGTCTGCCTTTAATTATTATAATGTTGGCTTTTTAACTTTTAACTACAAAGGGCCGTAAAGATACCAGTTACAGGGCTTTTAACATCCCAGAATCACTTTGCCATCATACATACAGTTCAATGGCTGACTGCAGACATAATATTGGATATTTTTATTATTTCAGCAGTTTATTGAAAAATAAAGGTTTAGTTTGAAGAAAACGATGTGTGAATTGCTGACCATTTCAATGACGATTATAATTTAATAAATCAATAAAACATTGGCAATTAAAACAGTTTTACTTAAATTAGACCTTCATTATACCACAAATTTCAAATTTAACTGAAGATGGGGTTCTCGACTCTTTAATAATACAATTGTAGTGTTAAAAATGGATGTTATAGAGCAGATACAGAATTTTTAAGCTACTGTTCTATAAATGCTGTATTGAAAATGTATTATGGAATTTGTATGTCATATAATATTATTTAATGCAACATTCTTAACCTTTATTTATGTCAAAGAAACTAAAATATCATAAAGATTGTTTGAGTAGGAAACTACAGTATTGTTATGTAAATATATCACAGCCATCAGTGGCAAATTCAAGGAGAGGTTTTAAGGGTTACAAGTCTCCAAATATTAATGATTTTAGACTTTAGCCTATTATGATGAAGACCTGTTCCCAAATATTAAAATTTTGCTGCAAATATTAGCAGTACTTTTTGTGTCTAATGCAGAAAATGAAAGAACATTTTCCACATTGCTCACATTAAAAAACTATTTTAGAAACTCAATTTCAGATAACTGGTTAAATAGAATAGATTAACACTTCTACATATGTATAGGGATATGACCTATGCGCAGTCGTTCCCGTTTTAAATAAATTGGCTGACAAAGCAAGAAAACTTGATATAAGTCTAAATTAAAATCTTATATTACATACAGTTTAAGCGTTAAATAAATGTCTTCTTTCCCATTTTACGTTGTACTAAATACCATACCAAAAATCTAAATAACCCCCTAATAAAATACCTGGGTGCGCCATTGACAGCCATACTTATAAAAATATTTTTCCTGTGGTTGGGTGACACTGTAGTGTTCATTAGGGGTTCATTTGAAGGCAAATCTCACTTTTACTGTGAAATATATAGTACATTTTTTGTCAAAATTTAACGGGACACTAATAAATATTTCTAAAAATATTATAAAATTGATTTAAAAAAATCACTTGGCCAAACTGAATCTGTTCTTCAGGAAAAGTGTACTACTCGTATATAAACTTTGTTTTTTATTATTTTAGGAGAGCCTTTAAAAAATTTAAAATTGATAGGTGACTGTTTATTAGTAGACAAATATGACTGTTATACTTCATTAGTCACAAGAGCAGGGGCGTATATACGGGGGTGATGGGGGTAATTACCCCTCAAGAATTTTTAAACCTAACTTTTTATAGTTTCTAAAATGTATTATTATAAAAAATAAAGTAAAAGTAAATATTACCACTACCCCCAGACCAAAACTCTATCACCACTACCCCCTCAGACTTAAACTCTGGATGCGCCACTGCACAAGAGAGCAATTAACCTGCTGTAATAAATTTATGGAATAAATGTATCCAGATTATTTAAAACACGTTCCAGGTATTTTTCTAAAGATATTACGAAACATATTAGCAGTACTAATAATTTATTTTCTTATATAGTATTAAAACTACATGAATATGATTTGTAACTCGAGACTCTAGTGACGTTTTCAAATCCTGATTTACTTGCTAGTAATATCCCAAGGAAGAATAATACAGAACATATATGAAATAAATTTACTTTGTAATACGTTAAGATTACAGAGTAACATTGTTGGTTAGGTTGGCATTGCGCCTAGTTCAGTAAAAGCGTGTAATTGTATTTTCCTTATTTTTTTCAGCTTTTCACTGCTATCCTGCTTATTTATTCAGCCCTTGCCGCAGCTTACTATGCTAAATTCAACATAATAACAACGGACTACGATTACTACGATGATTTCTTCGGAAGGTCGAACAGTGATGCACCCAGTAACAATTTATGGTCAGGATTGACGTCGTCCACCGTTCAAAGGATATTAGACGCCATCTCGTCAAAGAAGTATACATAAGACTGTAATTAAGGAGAAGGAACTCTTACATTTGATTGCAAATGTGGGAATTCTCGCTCTTCTTTTTAAATAATATAAGCTTTTATAATGAGATTTTTTATTGGACCAAAAATACCTCTGATAATATTTGATTGTTCCTGTATACCGTGCGGTACTATTTAATCGCAGCACTTAGACCATACACAAGTTAAGAAAAAAATTATTTTAGCTATAATATGAGCTATGTAAGAAGGGCTCCCTAAATTTTAAAATTTTCGTTATATAAGCGGCATGCGTTTGAACATATTTGACCACCAAGTAACTATTTTGACTATGCCCTGAGAAAAATAAATATTAAAAAAAAAATAAAAAGCTAAATTCCCACTGGCTCTCCGAATTTTTGGCCATATTTGACCACTCAGAAAAAAAAACGAAGTATAAGTAATATGTTTTTGTAATTTTGGACTAAACACATAATAAAACATTTTTATATATTGAAATATATGTTAAAATATTTTCCAGTAAATTATATAAATTTATCAAGTGAAAAATTGGTAGATTTCTTCATTCAATAGACTGTACGTGGCGCCATTTTTGTCTAATCTCAAAATAATAATAAACTTTACTAGCCCAAAATATTAATCCTACCAAATTTCAAATCAATAGGTACAGTTCCAATAAGCCCCTTCCCAAGAAATTAGGTAAAATTGCAGTTGAATTGATTCTTTGCAAGTATTGACATTGTATGTATATTGTAAATTTAGTGGAAATTTAAAAAATGCCTAGACGTGTGTTAGATGTAGATAGTCTAATTTGTAGTGTACATAAGTATTTTACGGATGAAAAAGAAAATGGCGGTCCTTTAAAATCGATAATGTCTGTACAACAACGCGTATGCGATGCTCTAAGAATTAGTGAAACCAAATTAAGAGGAGTATTACAAAATCACAATAGTGAACTGCCGAAAGAAGATCACCGCAAAACTCGCCCATCATTGAAAACGAAAGATATTCCAGATCGAAAGAAATTTGAAATTCGTGACACCATTTATCGAATGAGGGCCAACAAGGAACATGTGACCTTAAATACAATTCTCTCGGAATTAATAGATAGAAAATTTGACGACATTGGCAGAACAAGTATATGGCAAGTGATACATAACTTGGGTTTCAAATTTCAAAAGGAGGATAACAGAAAGGCCCTTTGTGAAAGAAGTTCTGTCGTGCACAAGAGAATTAACTTTCTAAGAAAATATTCTAAATTTAAAGAAGGGGCGAATTTTATATATTTAGACGAAACATGGATATTTTCTAGAGGTGCAACCAAGATGATAACGTAAAGTCCATCAAACATACCGATGGAGAAGGGAAGCGACACATAATTTTACATGCAGGTGGGAAATCGGGTTTTATAGAAGGTACTGATTTAATATTTTCATCTAAATCAAAATCCAGTGACTATCACGATAATATGAACACAGAAATGTTTGTAAAATGGTTGCATGAAAAACTTCTCCCAGGTTTAAGTGAGCCCAGCGTAATTATTTTAGACAATGCACCTTACCATTCTGAAGTATTAAACAAAAGTCTAACGAATTCTTGGACTGTTGATAAAATTAAAGAATTGTTGACAAAGGAACATATACCATTTCCTCAATATATATTAAAATTAGAATTATTACGCTTGGCAAATATATACGCAAAACCAAAAACCTTTATTGTGGATCAGATTATTGAAAGTTACGGTCATCAAGTTTTATGTCTGCCACCGTATCATTGCCAGTTTAATCCCATCGAATATATATGGGGAATAGCAAAACAATATTATGACAACCATATTGGGCCTAATGATTATAGTGACGACGCAGTTCGGGAATCTTGACGAAAAGCACTTTCAATTGCAACTCCAGAAGTCTGGCGGAACTGTATATCCAAGTGCGGGAAACTAATAGAAGATTGGTGGACTCGTGAATATAAAATAAACAAAATAAGTCCAATCATAATACCAATTAATGCTGTTGACAGTGATGATGATGACGATTATGATATTTTGGATGATAATGACTGATTTTCATTTTTGTTGGCAAGTTCAATTTTTTATTTTTCATTTGAAATTCTCTACATGGAACAAATTTTTATGTTAGAAAATATTTTATTTGAGCTAAATAATCCTCTTATTATACATAGACCATATTTTCTGTGTGAAGTGTAATATAAAATTATTATTAGGTTTATAATAGCCACATTAGACTCCATTAATAAAGAAGTTTAATTCTGCTCTCAATTATACAAAAGATTCTCCATTATTATTTAATTAAAAAGTTGTATATTATTTTTCATTTCATTTAAACCAGTTGATATTTCCCCAAAGAACAGGTCAAACTTTCGGGTACTTACCTGGAAATACTCATAAAAATTTTAATCCGAAACTCACGTAAGTATAGCCAACAGACTGTACTACTGCATTAAGTAGTAACAAAAATATTGCAAAAAAAAATAAATTTTAACTTAAACACTAGTAGATAATATTTGACAGTGTTATTTAACAAAATATTAATATTTTAAGTTCCTCTATGTGTAAAATATTTATCATTCCTTATGAAACACCGTATATACTGATTCTTTTTTACAAGAATCATCAGACACGCAAGTATTATAAATATTGTACTAGATAATTGCATTGGAGAAAAACAAACATGCTACATTTTGTTCGCACTATGGAAGCAAGATAAAACAATAATTAATATCAATGAAAGTTATCTTTTGATTAAACATAAACTTATGAATAGATATATGTATATTATGAACCTGTACATTTATGAATATTCAGCAAAAATGTCAAATATAAATGAAGTAGGTACTCAAAGTGTTTCTTGCAATTTTTGTAGCTTTCCTAAAAGGTTTTGGCAAACATACTTTTTGCAGGGATTTTGGATTTTGTCTATAGCATAATATTAATCTGCAAACAGTATTTTAGGTAGCTTTGACCTCTCTAAAACCATATTAATAGTTTTAAAATAATAAATATTGAAATAATCATTGAAAATCTTGAAAAATCAAATCAAGCCACATTATTTTGCAAAAATATAGATGTTTTCTCACGGTATCTAATAACGTATTCAAGAAGAATTACCTGCCTAATTAATATGCTTAAAGAACAGAAGATTGCTTATCGTTCACTAACCAACTTCGTGCGATACTTGAAATTGATTAGCTCTTAAAGCATCAACATGGAATCTTCATTTTTCTTAATTCTACTATTTCTACTCATTCTCAGAGACATTTTCTGTAAAATTTTAGTAATTACAACATTTCCGTGATCCTTAGTTAATCTAATGAACCAATTTCCAAATTTTAAACAAAAAAAATTTCATTTATTAATATATTTTACCCAATTTGAAACATTCTTCGAAAAGTATGCATGGGTAAAATAAGTATATCATCACTGCGGATGCTGTGTTGAGGGAATGAAAGTTAAAACTTAAAACATAGTAAAGCTTATCCTTTGCATTTAGTCGCAGAGATAGAGGAAGTGGCTAGAAAGAGTTCAATGGCCAAGCAGGCAAGAGACTGCATCACTCGCGGTATAACTATTTGCAAAAGTTAGTTCCCACTATACAGGACAGGACTAGCCTAGCCCAACAATTTTTGTGATTCATTTTTGGATTAGATTTTTGGAATATTACTTGGAAAATTTGAATATTAAATTTTGGGTAATAAATAAATAATTTTGATGTATAAATTAGATAAAAGCACTATATAATTAACCGAATTTAAGAGAGGGAAAGAAGGCTGGCTTGGAAGTTAAATAAGAAACAATCTGAAGAAGTGGAAGAGGTTGGAAAAGAGAATATGGATGAGCAAAATGTAAATAATACAGTTCCTAAAAAAAAAGGAGACAATAATTGAAGAAAACTATAGAAACGATTCAATAATGATGCTGCTGCTAGAAATGAAGAAAGATAGACAACAAGATAAGGAAAGATTTAAAATAAAAATGAATGAAAATCGAGAACAATATAAAGAAGAAATGAAAAACGAGAACGAAATACATAAGTGCAGACAAAGAAGAGATGATGCAGATGATGAGAATAAATGGAAAATAAAATAGAAATAAATGGAAGAGAAATAGAAGAGAAAAGATAGGAAGAGAAATAGAAGAGAGAAGATAGGAAGAAAATAAAGAGATCAAAGTATTTTTCAATGCATGATAAATCTGAAGAAATAAAGTAATATACAATAGAGGAGATGATTGGAAGAATAATAGAAGTCGAAAAATTGCAAGATAAGAAATTTGAAACTGCAGCAGAGAAATAAAAGTTCTTGAAGAAGAAATAAAAGTGGAGGCAGAAAAAATTAAGAAGAGAGTGCAAGATACTACAGAAAAAATAGACACTGAAGAAAAATATATTAATACAATAATAGGAATAGACCAAAATGTTGAGAAAAATGTGAAAGAAGCAGAGAAGGGAATTATAGAAAACAGAAAACCAGAGGAAAATAAACTGGATAAAAGGTTAGAAGATGTGAAGAAACAAATAGATCAATTGACAAAAAACTACCCAAAACAAGAATAACAGGCCATGAAAACATGAAGAAAACAGGAAATAAAATGAAGAAAGGAAAAAGAAATATAAAAGTCTAAAAAATAAAATTAGTGTCAAACAAAATATTGAAAATATAAGACAAATGAAAACGAAAGTAAAATATAATGAAGAATTGGGCAGAATATTGAAGAATAGAAGATTGACAGAAAAGGAAATAGTGAGGACGATGGTAAAAGAAAAGTAATAAAATTTAAAATTGAAAACTATGTGAGAACACAGAAATTGAATAGATAAAGTGAATAAAATAGAAATAGCTCAATATAAAGTGTGAAAGTAGGCATAGTGTGAGGTGGAATAAAGACGACATTGGTAATTGTAAGGAAAATAATGTAGAAAAGGGAATTTTTTAGTTTGATGATTATAAAACGAAGAATTTGTACATAAGAAGAGTAATTTAGAGAATAAATGTTTGTAGAAAAGTAACAATATCAAGGAAAAATTCGATAGATG